GAACACATTCGTGGCACTGTAGTGCTGGTATGCCGGACCTCTGCACGATCGTTTCTACGCATTCTAATCACGGTGGCCGGTGAACGTGAATGGTATCGGGGCTTGTATCTCCTCTCCCAAGTAGTCATTGTTCCTGACCTGGTGTTTGCCGATTCGCCTAGTGCCTTGGCGAACAAAAAGACGAAACCAGGCCAGACAGTAAAAAATCGACAAAAAACCCAGTTGATTATGGACGTGGGGAACGCATTCGGTGCGTTGACGATGACCGCCAACGAAGCATTTTTGCGATCTCTACGGAATAAGGGTTTGAAACACGCGGCCCTGCTGGGTCCGGTTCGAGCGCTCACAGAGACAGCTGCTCGGGATGACGAGTGACTGACCTGACCTACTGTCCTGTGCAAACTGATTGACTGACTTACGATGGCTTACGAGCAGTGTTGAAAGCCAGTGAAGCGCTCTAATAACATAACGATTTGGATTCACGATTAGTCTCGATCACTTCCGTTCTGAATTGAACTGAACTTTTATTGAAGCGGTCATTCTCGTTGTAGGTTTATGCGCGGCATTTGCTTTGTTGCGCTACACGAGGTCACCCTTGCTGTAACTTGGCTCAATAGCATTGCTCCAGACGGGGAAATCTCTATTCCCGGTTATATATTGATAATATCAGACTCAGCCCGAGGCAGAACGGGTGGTGTCATAGCTTATTTCAGCTGCGCTCTCCCTTCTCTCTTTCTTTTTCCAGTCGATCAAATACACCCAATAGATAATTGTAACGTGGAGTACTTAGCCCACCGATTCGTAATACACGAAAGGAGGTTGATTTCGAGTAACACGATCCGAGTTCCTGGTGCCAATAGCCAGTGAGACATGCACACGACTCACACTCAGTCCAAAATGGCGGCAACGCGCCTAACGTTACAATAATTTATGGGTTAAACTCAAACTCTCAAGGTTCATACTCTTACTTGGAGTCATGTACCGTCCCCCGCAGAGATCTTCCATCGAAAGCCAACTACTCATTGACCAATTAAGGTCAATAAGCGGCACCCACCTAATGTAGGTACTAGGTTATCGGTACCCCGGGCTTATACGTATAGGTCGCAAACGCACGAACGAGGCGATTCACGAAACGGAGGACGACGNATAAAGACCTGCAGGGCAAGAGAGAGATACAGAGGCGTGAGCAAGCGTGCGAGAAGTGACAGGAAACGCGTGCTGACCAAAGAGGTGGCCTTGGCGTGGTAAAACAATAAGGTACACAAGAGGAAGGGTACACGTAGAATGGGAATTCGTTGATCACTACACTAATCACTGGTGACTTCAATGCCCCGGGTATTGATTGACTCTGAGCATACTCTTCCGACCTTTCTTTTGGTCGTCCTCTTATCGACTTAGTATTAGAAAACTCCTGGACTCAACACGCAGATCAACCCACGAGGTTCCGTCCGGGTCAGGCTCTTCCATTACTATATCTGATTATAATGAATGAAGACAACCAGATCGACGTGGTAAATCACCTTCCACCTCAGAAAGAGTGACCACGTAGTCCTGCTGTTCGACTACATTGCGGAGTGGAAATCCAAAGTGGAGTGTCCACAAATGGTCAGATCCTTCAGGTGTACCAACTTCAGTTCCTTAAGAGAGTTTCTTGGAGCACAGTTCAACGGCCTTCTCCTGGACGTGTCCGTAGACAGTCACACAGAACATATTGAACTAATCGTCATTTCAGCTGACGAGCGGTTCTTTCCTTGTGTTCTCGCTCGCTCTAGCTCTAAACCAACTCTTCTTCGTCCCATCCGTAGGATTTTAGATCAGCGATCTCGACTGTTTGCCAGATACAAGCAAACGGGACTCGAAACTGATGGAATAGCCTTTAAAAGGCTCAGGAACATCTGCCGCTCAAACATAAGAGCATACAAACTACGCACTCAAAGAGCTACTTGAACGGACTCGAAAGAACAGACCGTTCCTCTACAAGTGTATCCGTCGACTGCGTGGCACATCTCACCTCTCTCTTGCACCTAAGTTACCAGACGGGACAGAAGTAACTGCCCCTTTCACAGATTGCAGGCGAATTCCAAAAGTACCACCAGATCACTTTTAGATCCATTACCCATCCGGTAGTACAACCTTTCCACTAAACTCCACGCTCAGCCGTGTTACTTTCTCACAGTTGGACGTCGAGAAGAAACTGCGGAACCTCAACCCTATGGGGCGGACATCCCAGCTGATCCATACACCCGACTCTTCCAACGGTGTATGAATGAGGGAATATTTCCTTCTCACCGGAAAGCCGCAGTGCTCTCCCCCATCTACAAAAAAGGTAGTAGACTCCTTCCAGTAAGCTCCCGTTCTGTCTCCCTGACTAATGTACCGAGCAAAATTCTAGAACGCATTCTAAAAGAAGCCATCTTGATGCACCTCTGCGCAAATAATTTACTTTCAACCTTCCAGCATGGATTTCTGCCAGGCA